TAAATATTTAATTAATTGAATTCCTAAGGCTTAATTTGAAACCATCAGCTTTATGTATCTACTTTGACTTTAATGCTTAGGGATTTAGACTAACATCTCTGGGCTCCTATTTTGGTTCATGGGCAGAAATCCAAGGGGAGGGGTGAGCAGAGGGAGTCCCAGCTCCCCAAGGCCCGACTCTGAGTAACCCCAGTGCCTCCCTTGAAGGAACGAGGCTCCCTGCTGTCCCCACTGTTGCTCAGGGCCCTTTGGGGGTTTCACTCTCCACCCAAGAGGTCGTGCAGACAGTTCTCCCAAGTGTACCCCATGCCCACCCTGGCTCAGTTCAGTTTGCCCCTTCTCCTTACTTTCATCCTTGGGATTCTTAAGGGTCTCTGCAGTCTCCAGGGTCAGCCCTTCCTCACCTATGTCTCCATCCGGCCTGGGCTCAATGTCAAAAGTTCAGGGGGAAACAAAGAGAGAGAAAAAAACCCTCAGGGAAGTCCAGGCTGGTGATGAAGCATCCCCTGGGCATTACCATTTGCTAGCTGTGTGACCTTGGGCAAGTTTCTTAACTGCTCTGGGCCTGAATATCTCTACCTGTAAAATGGAGACAATATTAAGCTGACTTCATTCAGTTGTCCTAAAGATTTAAAGAGTTCATTTTTGCAAACTGTTTATTACATGAAACAAACTTCCTTCTCAGGTCCACTGATGGAACAGCTGTCACCTTGACTTTGATGCCAAGCTGGGGCCGGGGTGGGGGGAGGAGGGGGGAGTCAGGCGCCTGCTCTGCTGGTGCAAGACAGTGACTGCAGCTTATGGTCTCTTTTTAAAGGTACCAAGAGGCACGAGCACCTGGTGCAGGTGGTTTCCCCATTGTACAGGCAGCTCAGAAAGGCACAATGACCTGGTGACAGACCACACGGCAGGTGAGCCGCAGGTAACCTGGGAAATGCACCCTCTGAAAAAGCCGCTTCATGCCTTTCTCTGAACTTGAGTCTGAGGTCCATCCGGCCCCGCCTTCCACGTGGACGACCACGGGGGAAGGTGAGCAAAGCCAGGGATCCCAGTTAGGGAGGCCCGGGCGCCGTGTCTGGGCCGAGAAAGCAGGCAGGAAGATGTGCTCAAGCCACGGACCATGTGGCCTCTTTAGACTCAGCCTCCTCGGGTGAAAGGCCAGAGTCACTTGCAAGGCCATCGAGTGTGAGCGTGTCCCACCGCACAGTACCAGGACGTGGCGCCTGCAGAGTTGCAGCCCTGGTCATCTACGGGGGGCCATTGTTGGGCTGGACTGTATTTGACAGGACGCAAGGCAGCTGAAGGTAGGTCACCCATTCCCCGTGTTCATCCTCCTATTAGGAAAACCCACCCCTCTGTGGCTGGCAGGCCGGGGAGGGCCCCGTCTCCACTTCACAGAGAGAAACTGAGGCCCAGAGAGCGAGAAGGAGCCTCCGCCCGACGCCCAGGGCTGGGCCCGTCAGGACGTCAGACTGCTCCTCGGCCAGCCCCTCCCTTCTCGCTCTCTTTCCCTCACTTTCCCAGAATCCGGTCGCTGGTTGCTGTGGCTGGACAGGTCTACGGGCACAGATCTTGCAGGGCCACCTGGGCTTTCCCCTGGCGCCAGCCCAGCTGGGGAGTCCACCCTGGGTACTTCCCGACACAGGCCCTTCCTGGGTGCCCCTGTTGTGCAACAGGAGATGGGGACCTGGGGGACTGCTGGTCCAGGAAGTCCTTCCCAGCCTGCCCCCTGTCCCTGCCAGGAATGAACTGGCCTCGCCCCAATATCCTCACTGGCCAGGTCACAGGGCCTGCGGATCGGGGACCAGAGTGATCGTAGTGCCACAGCTTTTTTTTTCGTCTTTCCCATCTGTCCCTCTCGCTGGTCTGCTCTCCGGGATGCTGACTGGGGTGCACCCCCCGGTCCTGCCCCACCCCCCAGCCGGGTGCCACCTGGACTGCTGTGCTCCAGAGTCCCAACACGGCTCACCCCCGATGTGGGGAAACACCCAGGAAGCACACTGAGACCCCAGGCCACCATCTGAAGGCACAAGGGTACGGAGGTCTCAGGAATGGGTGAGGGAATGGGCCATTCCAGCCCAATTTTGTTTCTGATTATCTGTCCAAGAAACAAAAAGAACATTCTCTCCATTCTCAAGACTTTTTTATTGTTGTTGCTTTGGTTGTTTGTTTGGTTGGTTGTTTTCTGTTTTTTTGTGCACCGGGGGTTGAACTCAGGGGCACATGACCACCGAGCCACATGCCCAGCTCTAATTTGTGTTTTATTTAGAGACAGGTTCTGGCTGAATCACTTAGTGCCTCACTTTTGCTGAGGCTGGCTTTGGACTCGGGATCCTCCTGCCTCAGCCTCCCGAGCCACAGGGATGATAGGGGTGCACCACTCGGAAACCTCAGGAGATAGCACAGTGCCATTGTCCTGGGGACTTTGGTGTGCACCAAAACTTCCGAAGGGGCTTGGCACAGCGCAGGCCATGGGGCCTCAGGGTTTGGATTTCCCAGGTTTGGGGCCAGGCTGAGAATTCCTGGCTTAAACGAGCTCTGGATGTGGCTTCTGGTCAGTGCACCTCACAGAGCAGCCAGCGGTGCTGGGTCTAGGCCCTGGCTCTGCCTTCGCCTTCCCCTGTGACCCAGGCTCTGCTCTGGGCTTGGGTCGCCCTCTATGCAATAGGGTGGAGCGTGCCCTGGATCTGGCAGTCTCAAGGCCTTCCAGACCAGGCATCCCAGCCCTGTGGTACAGCTCCTGGGCCTGGGCAGGGCACCCCTGGAGCTGCTGTCTGGGGCAGGTGGCAGAGCGGGAGCTCGAGGAGGCTGAGCAGTGGGGCAGCTGAGGCGGGTTTGAACACCTCCGGTCCCCAGTAGAAAGCCAACTGCTCGAGACCTGTTCCTTCTCTTAGGTAGAAAAGGTTGGGAAGTTCAGATGCATCAACTTCCCAGGGAAGGAGGAGAGAGTTAAGAAAGAAAGAAATCAGAACCCAAGAGTCAGGAGACGTGGATTTCCGACAGTCAACCCAGACAAGTTTAAATGTAAGATAAGTTTTTTTTTCTTTCTTTAAATATATTGCAAATATGACACGGAGCACACTTATACTCAAAAGGTGATTTTTTTTTTTATCTGAAATTGAAGTTTATTTGAGCACCTTGGGTTTTCATTTGCTGAATCTGGCCCGTCTCTCCCAGGCCTTCACTCCTGCACCTCTTCCAAGGTGGCTGCTTTGTGACTTCTCCCAAGAACCTCCAGGGGACTCAGCCCAGACGTCCATCAGCTGGCCCACAGAGGCGCACGTGTGTTCTAGCCTACGGTTTGGATTAGCTTGACGTGACCATCTACACTCAGCACCACCATGAGGGCCCCTGAGTACTCCTTGGGGTTTTGCCTACGGAGCTTCAAGCACACTATAAACAGACAACCACCGGACAGGCGTGTGGGGCTCAGGGTGGTCCCTGTGTCGGGACTGTGCCTGACCCTTTGATGTAAGCTCAGGATAAACCAGGTACAAGCCGGTTAAGATGAAGTCACCCCTCCAGCTGACCTAAACTGCAGGCACCCTCTTGGTCTCACTGCTGCCCAGGACAATGCTTCTGTGAGTAACCCCAGGTGAACTGTGCTGGGGGGCAGGTCCCATCCGACTTCCTCCTTCCTGATGCTCATTGTACCTCGTGTGCCAGGTGCCTTCCCTGAGGCTGGATTGTTCTGCAATAACACAATGGCATCTTGTATGGAAAAGGAATGAAGTACCCATATATGATACGGCATGGATGGCCTGAAAAGCATCACGCTGAAAGAACATGTCACCAAAGGGCACATATGGTAGGATTCCGTCCAAACAAAATATCCAGCATAAACGAAGCGACAGAGGCAGAAAGTCAGGTGGTGGTTTCGTAGGTTCTGGGGAGGCAGTGCGGGGTTTCCTTCAGGGGAATAAGAGTGTATGGAACTAGGTGGGGGGACAACTGTCATTCATTCCTGGTCAACTCTCTTATATGTATTTTGCCACAAAAATAACAATTGCTCATGGTAACCTGGGTGTATGTCCTCCCTGTGCATCATGGCTGGATTGTATTCCCCAGGAGATCTGCTGAAGTCCTGACCCCCATCAGTACCTGGGAATGTGACCTTATTTTGAGGGAGGGTCTGAAGGGTATGGAAATTTATAACCCTCAGGACAAGTAAATGACAAACCTCCAAAACAGTCTGACCTGGAGGACCAGGGAGGAGGAAGGCATCCTGAATCCTTCCCAGGACATCCTTTCCCAGTGACAAGGGGTCCAGGTTTCACCCCTTCCCAGGTTCATCCCCAGCACGGTCACCAAAGCACACACTCACCCCTCCCCCACAACGGGTCCTGAAGGCTGGGCCCTGTCCCATTGCCAATGAGCCCGGGTCATTAGGGTGTGGCCAAGTCATATGCCTGGTGCCCTTCCGAAAAATGTGAACACAGAGAAACGGAGAACGCCCCCTGAACCCTGACCCCTGACCTCTGAGGAAGAGACTGGAAGCCAAGGAATACCCGGGGTTACCAAAGGCTGGAGGTGAGGCCTGGGCACTAACTCCGGGTGGTCTGCCTAGCTGGGGCGCTGGCCGGGGTTGGGCCCCCGTACTGCAAGTACTGATGTGAAGGAGGAGGAGGAGGAGGGGGAAGAAGAGGAGGAGGAGGAGGGGGAGGAGGAGGAGCAGGAGGAGGAAGAGGAGGAGGAGGAGGAGGAAGAGGAAGAGGAGGAAGAGGAGGAGGAGGAGGAGGAGCAAGACTGAAGGAAGAAGGAGGAAATGGAGGAGGAGGAGGAAGACAAGGAGCAGGAGAGGCTGTTGAAGTTGTTGGGTTCAGGATGCGCCTTCGCTGGGGGATTTGGAGACAGCCAGGCCCAGGACACTCTGATCCACTTCCGCCTCTGTGCCCCTGGTTGTCACCACCTAGCAGGGCACCCTTGGAGCATCTGCCCTCCACCACACCCTGCCAGAAACGGCCCATCCAGCTTTGCAAAGAAGCACATGACCACAGACATGTCATTCTGTTGCCTCAGTTTTAAATATTTATTTAAAATCCGGAAGGGAAAAGGAGAGGCGGAACTCACTGGGGCTTCCACACACCGACATCGGGACAGACAAACACGAGGACAGCAGATAAACCCGAGATGGGACAGGGGCCGGGTGGAGTCTGGTACCATGGGGACACAGAGCGCTGAGATGAGCCCCAGCGGGGAGCGCCCAGGCTGGGACAGTGGGGGTGGTGGTGGGGGCCGAGTGAGGTATTAAATATTGCAGGCCAAACCCAATTCCCCAAGAGACACCATTAGAAATACTCAGAGACTTCCATATAATTTTCCTCCTTCCATAAAAATAATTTCATAGTTCAAATAACTTCAAATTGCAACCCAGGCCCTGATAGGGTACAATCCAGATCATCATGAATGCCACCAGCACGCAGGTGGCCAAGAATCATTCTTTTCTCCCCAGCCCCAATTGACACCCACGTTGACAGCGGGTTTCTGCAGAGTTCAACACTGAGAAAGCAGGAGGGAGAGCTGCCCAGGGAGACCAGCTCCTGGGAGGGAGAGCTGAGCTTCGTCCTGGTTTTGTGAGATGGTTCAATATTTACATTCCGAGGCCAGCTCCAGCCCACACTGCCCTTGGCACTGGTTTCTCCAAGGTCAAGGCTGCTCCCGGGCCTCTCCAGGGCAGCAACCTCCCTCCAGGACCCCGAAGGCCACAGCAAGACGCTTTGCACAAGGACAGACATTTCCAAGTCCATAAGTTAAAGGGAAAGCCCTCTACTTCCGGTTTTGGTAGGGTTTTTGTTGTTGTTTCTTTTTTTCTTTTTTCTTTCTCTTTTTTTCCTCCTTAGCAGATTACCAGACAAGCATAAAGACGACACTAGGAAGACAGAACGATTCCTCCAAACTTTGTCATTTGGAGGACAGAGAACCATGTGAACTGTGTCCCACATCAAAAAAGTTTCTTCAAAGTCTGTGGCAAAAATAGTAGCACCTTCAGAATCTTAAATAGGTTTTTTTTTTCCTTAAAAAAAAAAAATCACTTACACTGTGAGACGATTGTGAGCACCGGCGATTTCACAGTGGAGGTAGCAAAAGTGGGGACCCCCAGCCCCAGGATCTCGCCTTCCCCACCCCGCTGCTCTTCCTCACCCTCTCACCTCTTTCCCAGGTGAAAAAATAGTAACACACCTTCTTTGGGTTTGTTTAAATAATAATAATATATATATTCTTCTCTCTTTCCTTCTCTCCTTTTTCATGTCTCCTTTCTAATATTGCACATCAAAAGCTCCCTGGCAGGGCCAGCTGACGGGGCACCCCTTCCCCAGCTGGCTTGGACGTGGGGCTCTCTGGGCAGGAGGCCGGGAGGGAAGCTGGCAGCCGCAGGGCTGGGGTCAGCCGGGGGCCGAGGCGGGGTGCGGGCTCGGCAGACTCGCTGGCTCTTTGGTTGGTCTTTGGGGGTGAGCTGCGATGGACTCTTCCCAAGGACACCCCATGCCCTGCTACCCCCCTTCCCCTGCTGCTGAGCAGACGAGATCTAGGGACCCCTCGGGCAGAGCAGGGGGCTGCCTCTCCTGGGGCCATGGCCCTCGGTACCCGGCCTGGCCTCCCCCTCCTCCCTCTGCCACAAGGCCAGAGGCACCAGGAGGCCAGGGTCAGAGGAAGCACGCAGGGCCAACTTCCAGGCGGTACTGCTTCCCTGGCGAGGCAGGGGGGAGGTTGTCCACGCTGACAATGGGCAGCTGCTGGGGGTCCTGCGTCCGGAAGGTGAAGAGCGTCTGGTGCCAGTGGCCGTCCAGGACCTGTGGGTGGAGGAAGAGGTACAGATACCAGGTGCCCCTGAGCCTCCCATCACGCTCAGGGCCTCTGCCATGGCCCTCCTCCTGCTCCGCAAGGCTCTGCGCCCTCACCACAGCTATGAGCTGTACTGGACATTTACTTTGCTCCCATATTTTTACTCTCCCGAGCGATGCTTAATGAACAGTAACCAAACCTTTGTGCACATTCTACAGAAAGTTCTAGAAGTAAAATTGCTGGACCAAAGAATAGGCCCACATGTGAAGTTTGAGACATGTATTGGATATACATCTATACACAGAAGCTTTCCAGAAAGCTCTACCCATTTCTTTTCTCCAATCATTTCATACGGGAATGTTGGTCTCCCCACATCCTCACCATCACTGTGTATCATGGGTTTGGTTCAATCGTGTAAAACTGGTTTTTACCTTTTGATGACTTTATCTCCCCTCCCCCTGCAAATCCAGCTGGTTTGGAGCATTTAGAAATGACAAACTATCCTGGCAAGGTGGGACCAAAAGAAATATGTACTCTGTCGAGAATTTGCAAAGAAGACGGCTCAAGGAGTTAAATCGGTGCAGAATTAAGCCCGTCAGGAGATGGGATCCCACGTGCAGAACGCTGGCTTTCTTTATCCCACGCTCATGGACACACTGTCCCATATCACCTGCTAAAAAACTTAGTTCTAATATCTATCTCGATTTTTGTGCTTAGTATCAGAATTTATTGCTTTTTTTTTTTAACAGAAATGGTATTATCTTAACACAATTTATCAGAAAGACCAACCTTTCCCCATTCACTCTTCTGCAAGGCCAACTTTGTCATAAATCATGTCCACACACAAACCCCAAACAGAATTTGGATGCAGTGATCAATGCGGGGAACCCACAAAGGCGTCTTGGAGGTGAGAAACTTCTCTATTAGTCTGCATAATTTTAGGAAGTTCCCAGAGGAATAAAAGTGAATAAAAACAACTTTTGAAATCGTTCTAATAAAAATATTATATGGAAATAAAAGTGACATACATCTATACCTGTCCCACGCTGGCACAGTTAGACATACAAGTTTTTTCACACAAGTTTCCCCGTCTTCCATGGGCTCTGCTGATTACCTTACAGCCGTCCATGGACACCTCTGGCCTGAACTGACCCCCAGCTTCAAAGATCTGCCCGTTCCAGGCCCGGAAGCGCACAGCCTGCTTGGCCGGGGTGCGGCCTGTGGTCTCCTGCCACACGGTCATGTTCAGGCAGTGGATGGTGATGTGCTGCGTCACCTCGGAGCTGAGCAGGTGCAGGAAGTTCATCTGGACCCGGCTGACTGCAAACTCCACCTGGGGGAGATGGGGAGACAGACGGTGAGGGGTGGGGTGCAGTGCCTGCAGCTCTCAGGGCTCCTGCCTCTCTCTGGAGGGGCCAGGATAAGCCCTTTCCTGGTCATTTTTTCCCAACCCTCACGTATGCCCACTTGAAAGACTGGGGAACTGAGGTCCACGTGAGCTGGTCCCCCAGCCCCTCAGCTACATAACGAGAAAGGTCTGCCGACGCCACAGCAGAAGGATCTCGCCCAAGACGGAGACCCGTGGAGGGAGGAGGAAATGGGAGGCACTGTCTAAGCCCAAGTCCCAAGAGGCTGGGGGTGGGGGTGCTGGCAAAGGCAGAGCCGAGAGCAATCAGCGAAACTAGGTGCCACTGAAATCCAGGCCCTTCCCTGAGCTAAGGTGTAGGTAAGTGTCCACAGAGGCCTTTGTGCTGAAGGCTTGGCCACCAATCATGGGAGGTGGTGGGACCTTGAGAAGTGGAGCCTGGTGGAAGGGAGACAGGTCACTGGGGCTGCCCTTGAAGGGGCTACTGGAACCATGGCCCACTCTTGTCTCTTTTCTGCTTCCCGGCTGCTTCCCTGCTCCCACTGTGATGCCCTGCCTCACCACAGGCCTCCAAGCAACGGGGCCAACCAACCACGGACTGGAACTCACCGCTGTGAGTCAACCTAAACCTTCCTCCTTATAAGTTGCCTATCTCAGGTATTTTGTTACAGTAACACAGAGCTGATCAACACACCTGCCATTGTTTCTGATGAGAAGTGCAACACAAACAGGCATTTACCTTGCCACCTCCAGCCTTGCCCATATGCACAACAGGTTTGCCATTCAGCTCCTAGACCTCCAAGTCACAGGAGAGGGAGACTGCAGTGGTCACTATGGCCCTGCTAACCTGTGAGTTCTGGCTATAGGGGCAGCAGCAAGTTTGGCTTCCTCATGCCCAGCTCAGGGGCTGGTACCTGTCAGATACTTAACAATGACTTGTTGACCCACTGGCTGACAGACTGCCTCCCTAGAGATTCTCAAACTCCAGGAGTGGCATGGTCAGCACACACCTTCTAGAACCTCCCAGAGGGTGGGGGTGAGGCTGGTAGGATGGGATACAAAGGGCTCTGGGTCCCCAGCCCCTGCATTAGAGCAGCTTCTCACTGTGGCATGAATCACCCCCTAAAATACCCCTCCCAGAGAGGCAGGTGGCCAGCGGGCATCGAGCAGGGGTTCAGGATTGCATGTGTCTGGGAGGAATGTTCCAGAGGAGCATTGCACAGATCTGCTTCATGCTGATTGCTCGTGGTTCTGTGAGCCAGGCCCCGTGTGGCTGGCTGACTGCTCTGCTTTAGTACGATACAGAAGGCGGGACATGGGAACCACTCCAGACTCGCACAGGTGGAAAGCCCTGGGAAACCAGATTGCTCCACCCCGTCCCCAATGCACAGAGGAGCAAGCTGAGTCTCGGAAAGAGGAGGTCTTTCCCAGGACCGTGCAGTCAGACAGGCAGGGCTCAGAACAGAGCCTGGTTGGCTGTGGCCCAGGGCAGAGCGGGGCAGACAGGACCAGCCTAGGGAGAAGGTGGGCACCTTGGAGGCCGTGATGGGCTTCAGACACGTCTGTCCGCCGTGGGTGAAGTTGCAGGAGACTTCAATGGTGTCCGAGGAGCAGCCGAGGTTCGGATCCACCCAGTAGGTGCCTGCAGACAGCACAGGGGGGTGATGCACGGATCTAGGGAGGGGCGGAGGTCAGGTTCCGCAGATGACTCTGCACCTGTGACCCTCTGAGCCCCACTTGGGCATGAAGTCGGGGTGAGCTGGGCAGAAAAGGGATTCCCAGTCCACAGAGGGGAAGGGAGCCTTCTAGGCAGAGGTCACAGCTGGAGGAGCCCAGGGCAGAAGGTTCCCTGAGGAGCTCGTCCTCTGTCCCCCCTGGGGGGTGTCCATCTTCCAGAGGGGACAACAGGTGAGAGTGAAGCCAAGGCCCCAGGGAGTGGGGGGTCATCTGCTGACTGCTTCCTCCAGGGCCCACGGCAGCCAAACCAAGAGTGGGACCCAGGCCTCCAGTTCACGTGCCGAGGAGGGGAGGTGACTCAGGCGGTGCTGTGACAGGCCCCAGATCACAGATGGGAGAGTTGAGGGAGGTGGGGACCCAAAGGGGAACCCCGGCTCACCCGGGAAGCCTTCCTGGGGCTGGGCTCTCCTGGCCCTTGGGGACTTTTTCTGCCAAAACTCTATCTCATTGCACTGAAATGGTCGTCCCCAGCCTGTGGATCTGTGGCTCTGGAACAGGGGGACCACTCCACTGTGTACCCCACAAGATCCTACAGACCAGGAAGTACAGCCCGGCACACGGGAGCTCAGTGACTCAGTCAGTGGCTGTCTGTCTGTCTCCCTAAGGACAGAAACTTGGCCCAGAGGTGCTGAGAACCAAGTACCCCCTCTGCCCGGCTCCACCCCCGGGCCACCAGCCTGGGCAGGAAGCGCCCCTCCCCTGCAGTCGCTCTCACCGTCCGCCATCTTCTGCTCACAGTCCATGAGGTCCCGGCAGACCCGGGCGGGGTTCTCCTTGGTGCCCAGGGGTGTCTTAATGCTCTGGATGAGGTTGCTGAGGTAGTGTAAGGTTTTGAAGATCTCCCCTCCCTGGTCCAGCACCAGCCGGTCTGGATAGCTGTATCCCTGCCATAGGAGAGGCGTGGCCATTGGTCCCTCAAGTCCTGGCTGGCCTGAGGTCCCCGCTGCCTGGGAGGGTGCTCAGGCTGGTGGCCAGGCCAGGCTGCGTCTCTCTCCACTTCACAGATAAAGAAACTGGGGCCAGGGACAAGAGGCAGTGGGTGGGGCTGCCGCCTTGGCTCAGGTTTGAGGAAGCACAGGTGAGGCCCTGTTCTCTGGCACAGGAAGGGCAGAGCCCCAGGAGGAAGGCAGACGGGGCGCACAGGACACCATGGTGTGGCCTGCGAGGGAGAGTCCGTGGAGGAGGAGGTGCTGCCTTAGGGGCTCCCATGCCCTGCTGGGCTCACCTGGGTGGGAGCAGGAGCTCCTGTGAGGCACCAAGTCACACAACTGGGACCAACAGACACAAGTGCCTGGGGGAGGGCTGCAGTTCAGAGATGGGGGAAGAGGGGGATAGCCACAGAGTGCAGGGAGCAGGGCCTTTGGGTGACCTGAGCACCTGCAGGACCTCCAGCCCCTTTCCAGAGCCACAGATCAGAGCTCAATAAGCCGTCCCCCCAGACCTGGCAGAGGCCACGTGTATGTCTGTGTGCATGCACGTGTGTGCGTGAAGGTGTGTGGGTGTGAAGGTGTGCACATGTGTGCATGTGTGCATGCAGGAGCATGTGTATGTCTGTGCATGCACGTGAGTATGCACGTGTGTGTGTGCAGGTGTGTGGGTGTGAAGGTGTGTACATGTGTGCGTGCAGGTATGTGGTATGTAGGTATGCACAAATGTTGGTGTGCACATGTGTGCATGCATAAGGACGTGCATATACGTACATGCATGTGGGTGTGCAGGTGTGCACATGTGTGCATGCAGGTGTGTTGTGTGTGGGTATGTGCATTCAGGTGTGTGGGTGTGCAGGTGTGCACATGTGTGTGAACGTGGGCGTGCAGGTGTGCACATGCATGGTGTGAGTCTTCTGTGTGGACAGAGCCCACCCCAAGCCCCCTCTGCAGTGGGTGGGGGCAGGAGGCCATGCTCCAACCAAAGCAATGACAAGAACACAATGTGCCCCTTGTGAAGTTCCGACCCCTGGTCTCAGGCACTGTTCTCCTGCTCTGTCCCCCTGCCATGGGGTAACCTTAGGGATGGTGCGTGGGAGAGGAAGAGGGCACAGCCCCGGCAGGCAACCTAGGTCTGTTGTCACCAAGCCAGCCGGCCTTAGTGCGCATGAGGAATAAACGTCCACGTATCTGTGGACACTCATCTCCTGCCGTGTGCGAGGCGCTGTGGGGAAGGCGCGGCGCAGGGCTATTGTTAAGGACGGCCACAGGCCAGCTGCCTCCCTGGGTGTGGAGCAAATGACCTCCTGGGTGGAAGGAAACTCTCCCCTTCTCTGCCCACGGATATCTGTCTTTCCACTGACCGCCCTGGGTGGACGGCAGGGGCCCATCCCTGCTTCTGTCCCCATGGACTGCGAGCCCAGCAGTTACACAGGAACAGAGAACTGGCTGGGGGTGGAGGTGGAGCTGGAGCCGAGAGCTCCCCATCCCGGACCCCAGAGGCCCTGGAGAAAGCACAGGCCAGAGCGGCTTCTGTGTGCCGGCCGTAAGACCTCGGACCTGCTGCTGCCCTCTGAACCCCGGGAAGAGCCTCATCTGGGATTGTGGGATGTCACAGACACGGCTCTGACACACTGTGCAGGCCAGGTGGAGGGCACAGATCACACAGGGCCGTCAGCCACACTTCTCCCAGGACTGGACACCATGTGGGCAGAGCTCCTGGAGGTACCTCTGGTCGGAGTGCTCCGTTAGTGTCCATCCACGTCTGGAAAGCTGCCCCAAGGTCATCTTGTTGCTGTGCAGGGAAAGACAAGGGGTATATCCTGGTCCCCCAGGCCCCGAGCACCCACTCTCCCACCCCACCTGGTCTGGCAGGATCTTGGCTAATCATACCCTCTGCAAACTCCTTCCTCCCATGGAGACAGTCAGTGACTGTCACTACCTTCCTCTAGGCACTTCAGTGGCTCCCCCTGGCCCTTGGGATTAAGTTGGAACTCCTCCCAGCTTGAGTGCTGTGCTCCTGAGCCCTGTCTCTCTCCTCTCCCCGGCACATGCTAGCACTGGGCACACTCAGAACTTCTAAGTTCCTAGGTGCCGTGCTGTCTAACCACAGGGCCTTTGAAAGTGTTGCTCCCTTTCCCTGGAAAATTCTTCCCTCCTTCAAATGCACTGTTGGGCTATCTCCTGTACCACTGCTTCTCAACTGGGGTGATGATGCTCCCCTGGGGCCTTCAGTAATACCTGGGGACATTTTAGACAGGTACAACTAGGGAAGGGGCACTACTTGATCTTCAGGTCAAAGACCAGGAAAGCCGCTCAGCCTCCCACAGGGCACAGGATGCCAAGGTCAGCAGTACAAAACTTGGCAGTGGTGGGAGGCCTCTCTGATCCTCCTGGCTCCAGGCCGCTGGGCCCCTTTCTCTACGCCCCACAGTTCCGTGTCTGGCTGGCACTGTACCAGTCTCATGAGCCCCGGGCTGGCAGAGGCAAAGTCTTGCCAGAAGAACAGGGGAGAAGAGATCTGGGCACCGAGTAAAGCCGAGGACCTGGAGGGACACCTCAGGGTCCAACCCAGCCCTGCCACTTCCCATCCATGCCCTGCGCCTCAGTCCTCCCATCTTGAAAATGGGCCTGACACAAAACTCCCCTCAATGAACTGAGGAGCTAACTCATGAGTCCACCCGTGGAAAGCTCTTCTCCCGGCGTCTGGGGTGGAACCAGCAGGCAGTCGATCTAGCTGTCACTCAGAAATTCAAAATCCTCTCCTTTTCTGTATTTTAGGAGAAAAGGTTTTTCTCCTGGTTCCCTTCCCTCCTCGCTTCTTTTATGGATGAGAAGGACACGGGGGATGTGGAGGGACAGTCAGGGCAGCCATTACTGCTTCTGTGACAGTGGACAGAGGGACCTTGAGAAACTGGGAGGAGCTGAGAGGCTGAGGACTCGTGGCCCAGGCGCCATCTCAGCTCGGGCTTCCTGGGGCCCTCAGGGCTGGATCCAGAGGTCAACCAGCAAGTGGAAAAATGGGGACAGATTTGTCCCCGGGTGGGGCAAGGCCACTCTCCAAATAGGGGTGTGGTCCCCATCTGTCCACTTTTCTGACCCTCTTTGGACAGAATCTGAGGCAGAGGGATCCTCAGCAACCAGCCCACCTGTCGGGGCCCAGACAGGACCAGGGGCCAGCGGCTGGGCAGGACCCTGGGCTCACAGTCTCCAGATGCGAGTCCAGCAAGAGGAACACTCAGCTTTCCTGCCTTGTGGCCCCAGGCCCCTCCTGTGGCCTAGGGTCCAGGGCTTCCGCCACGGAACAAGAGGATGGGGCATCCCTGGGCCCAGCTTAGGGTTCTGGCCACTGTGGCCAGACAAGGCTGTTAGCTCTCCCCTTCACCTCCCAGGCCTCACCCCAAAAGACCAAAGAGAACATTCTCAAACTTACAAGCTGGACTGGACGCCCTGGAGGTCCCTGCAAAAGAAGATGGTGGGTCAGCACTGGACGGGCCCAGTGCTGAAGCCCCGGCTGCCAGGAGAGTGGTGGCTGTGGGGCAGGTGAAGACCGCCAAGCCAGTGACTGCACTCCCGCAGGCCGGGATGACCGTCCCCGCCTCAGGCTGCTCTATGCTGTCCCAGAGTCTGTGACTGCAAGAAGCATGTGAGTCCTGCGAGACTCAGGGTCAAGGACAGTCTGCTGGCAAAGCCCTGATCTCCTCCATAGGGACCCGCCTCCTGCCCAGATGTCCAGGCTGCCCCATGTGAAGACACCAAGCTACCTACCGGTGGGCCAGGCCGCCCTCTTGGGCCGGGAGGACCCTGAGGAAGAGAACAGTTAGCCTTGGTCAGCAAGGGCCCTCCGTCTCCCACCCCAGGTCCTCATCAGGCAGACAGGAGGCCCAGGACCGTGGTTCCCTGGTGTGGACAGGTGCAGATGAGGTCCAGAGAGAAAGGGCACCCAGGACAGTGGTCACGGACAGGAGACCCAGAGCCCCCGCCCACTCCCCTGCCCTTCGCCCTCAGGCCAAGCACTCACCCTGGGACCCTGCAATCCCTGGAGGAGACACAAGAGGGACAGAGTCAGACCAGACGCAGGCCGAGCTGGGGCCCACCCTGAGTCCCCTCGTCCTCCACTCACCCAGTCCCCTCGACTGCCTTTGTCGCCCTTCGGACCCTGCAACAAACCAGAGCCCAGTGAGACAGGGTCAGAGGGGAATCCAGTTCCCGAAGGGGAAACCGAGGCCCAGCCCCTGCACCTACCGGGAGTCCCGACGGTCCCAGGATTCCAAGGGGCCCAATGATGCCCTCCTTTCCCTAAAGGAGACAGACAGGCTGAGTGGGCTTGTTCCAGGCCTGGGGAACGGACCCAGGGACAGAGGCTGGGGGGCTGCCTGCGTGTCCCCAGGGATGGGCGGGACACCTCCTCGGGCCACACACTCCCCAGCTCCTCCCACATGCAGCCCCTTCTGTGTGCCTGGGGGCTACCAGAGCACAGCAGGAGGAGAGGGGGAGGAAGGGCTGCGGCCCAGCTCCTCCCCACTCCTGTGGGGTCCTCTACCCTCACCCACCCGTTCATTCCCAGGTGTGGCCAGTCAAGGGCTGGAACAGAGGAGGGGACTCACCATCAAGCCAGGAGGCCCCCGGGGGCCCTGGATGCCTTTGAAGCCGATGTCCCCAGGGGGGCCCTGCGGGAGCAGAGGAAGGGCAGTCTGTGCCTGGGCAGCCCAGGGGGGTCCCCGAGCTCCCCCAACCTGGTGTCTGGGCCCCAGGAGGAGGTGGTAGGAGCCCACCCACGGGTATTGCGCAGGCACAGGCTGTGGCACTGTTGGTTGGTGGCCTGTGCCTCTGGTGGAGTTCTGCATCCATCCTCCACTTACTGTCCCCACTTGACAGATGAGGAAAGCGAGGCTCAGCGGGACTAAGCCAGGAACCCAGGCGTGCTGCCAAGGCAGTGAGCGTGAGGGCGTGCTCGCTGCTGGCTGTGTCCCCAGCTGTCATGGTGACTGCACTGTGAGCGCTCGGCCAATATTGGTGGAATGAACAAGTGAATGAACGAGTGGGCGAGGGTAGAGGACCCCACAGGAGCTGGGAGGAGCGGGGGTCCATACCTTGGGTCCAAAGAGGCCAGACACTCCTGGGAAGCCCATCTCGCCAGAGTCACCCTGCGGGGAGAGTAGGACAGGGCTAGGGTGCTGGCCCGTCACCCAGGACCCAGGGGCCATCGGAGAAGAGTGACGAGCTCACAGGCTCGGTGCCAGCCTGGGTGCTGAGGAGCCAGGGGGCGGCGTCCTCCACCAGGCGAGCAGGGAATCCCCTGCAAGGCTCCTGTCCCAGGTCCTCAGGAAGAGACTGGAAGGATCCGTGGAGCCCCACCCACCCCAAGAGCTCTGTTAGGACATGGTCCCCTAGAGTCACCAGCGCTATGGGCCAGCTGTTTGACGTTCCCAGGTGCCCTGTTTATAGATGACAGAAAAGAGGCTCAGAAAGGACGGGAATTTGCTGAGCGTCACACGAGTTCTATGTGATGGAGGGCACCAGGTTCAGACTGGGCGTAAGCAATTACAGAGGCCCTGACCCCCACAGCCAATCTACAAAGTGGTCAGAGAACAACCAGTCAGGGAGGCAAAATAGGCCAGGACAGAGTAGTGGACTCTATTCACGTAGCTGCAGCTGACCTGTGCCTGGGCCACACTGTGGTTACTATAGCTCTGTAATGAGTTCTGAATTGGGAAGTATGAGTCTTACAAATACTCGGATCTTTTCCAGATCAGAATCTATTTGCTGACTTTAGCAGATTGTGGTAGGGACTGCACTGAATTGGGAGGCCAGCGTGTGGGGAGTATCGCCATCTTAGCAACTGTCGTCTTCTGATCCATGAACATGGGATGTCTTCTCACTTATTCAGGTTTTTCTTCAATATTTTTCAACAATGTTTTGATTGTGTTCAAACCATAGACCAATGTGAGAAAAATGGACATCCTCACAATCTTGAGTCTTTTAACCCATGGACACTATGTAGGTACATATGTTTTTCTTTAATTTTTTTTAGCAATGTTTTGTCATTTTCAGGGTACATTTCTTGCACCCTGATAGTAGATGTACCTCTTGGTATTTCATATTTTTATGCTATTATAAACAGTATTACTTTCTAAATTTCAATTTATGCTTACTTGTTGCTAGAAACTGCTAGTGATTGCTTAATATATAGTAATAGAATTTATTTGTGCATATTGATCAGTTTCCTCTGATCCTAATAAACTTGCTTATTACAATAGCTTTCTTGTAGATTTCATTTGATTTTTCTCCATAGAAATCATTTCATTCTACAATGAAAATTTTACCACTTCATATATGAATTCCTTTTATTTCTTTTTCTTGCCTTATTACACTGGCTAGAATGGCCAAGATGATATTAGATGGAAAGGATAGCTTGTTTATGCTCCTTAAGAGAAAGCATCCAACTAATCACTACTGCATATGATGTTAACTGAGTTGTTCTTGGATTTTTCTTTATCAAATGAAGAAGTTTCTTCTGTACCTAGTTTACTGAGAGTTTTTATCAGAAATGAAATTAGATTTTGTCAAATGTTTTCTTGCATCTACTGAGACGATCAAATGGTGTTTTGTTTTAGTTTGTTAAATATGGTGGATTAGAAAATGATGGTGGAATGAGGTGGCCATCATTACTCTAGGTACATGTATGACTATCCATATGGTGTGACACTACATCATGTACAATCAGAGAAATGAAAAGTTGTGCTGCAACTGTGTGCCATGAATCAAAATGCATTCTCCTGTCATATATATACCTAATTAAAAATAAGTAAATAAAATTTTTAAAATATGGTGGATTAGATTGACCTATTTTCAAATGTAATACCACCCTTGCATTCCTGGGATAAACTCCACGTGGTCTTCTTGTGTTGTCCTTTTTATTACAGTCTTAGACTCATTTTTCTAACATCACATTAAGAATTGCTGTGCCCCTATTTATGAGGTGTACTGGTCTGTAGTTTTCTTGTAACGTATTTGGTTTTAACATCAGGTGATTCTGGCTCATGGAAATAAACTCATTTTCTGAATAACTTTACATAGAATAGGTATTATTTGCTTCATAAATGAGCTTAGTAAAATTCACCAGAGTTTTATTTGAGGGAAACTTTAAACTCACTTATTCATTTTCTTTAAGAGATACATGGCTATGTAGGTTATTGATTTCTTCTGGAATGAGCTGTTAGTTTTGTCTTTGAAGAAATTTGCCCATTTCACCTGAGAGTTATTTAAATTTCTTGCCATGATGTTTTTTTTTTTTTTTACAATATCCCCTTATTATTCTTTTAACACCTGTAGTATCTTTAGGGATAGCATCTGTTATTCCTTATATTAGTAATGTAAGTATTCTCTCTCTCTTTTTATTTTTCTGAGAAGTTTGGCTAGAAGTTTATCAATTTTACTGACATTCTCAAAAAAAACTTTCCATTTTTCTTATTGTTTTCCTGGTTTTTGAAATTTCTGATCTTATTGTTTCCTTTCTTCTATCTGCTTGGTATCTAATTTTTTCCCTAGTTTCTTACAATGGGATCTGAGGCCATGGATTCGAAAGCCTTCTCTATTCCTTAAACACCCTACTAAGTGCTGTCTTGGCCCCACTAGTGATACACTGTGTTCTCATTTCATAAAATATTAATTTCCCTTTTGAGTTCCTCTTGTGGATTCTGTGGATGTTCTTTACTTAGTTTTCAAATATTTGGAGATTTTTCAGATATCTGTTATTGATTTTTCCATTTCATCATCATGGTACAGAACATTCTTTGTGTGAATTGAATCTTTGTGACTTCTTAAGGCTCGTTTTTATAGGCTCAGAATGTCATGTCTTCGCAAATGCCCTGCATGTGCTTGCAAAGAATGCATATCTTGCTGATACTTGGTGCAGTGCTCTATTAGGTCGTGTTTGCTGATAATGTTCCAGTTTTCTACATCCTTACTGAATTTCTGACTATTTACTCTATTTATTGATAAGAGAAATATATTGAAATCTTCAATTGTAATTGTGAATTCGTCTACTTCCCCTTATAGTTCTATCAGGTTTTGCTTACTGTATTTTTAAAAATGTTTTATTTATTTATTTATTTTTAATGTGGTGCTGAGGATCAAACCCAGTGCCTCACACAGGTGAGGCAATTGCTCAACCACTGAGCTACAGCCCCAGCCCTGCTTACTGTATTTTAAATTCTGTTATCAGGTGTATGAACATTCAGGATTTATCTATCATCTTGACAAATTGACCCCTTGGATCACCATGAAATGAACTTCTTCATTACTGTTAATAACCACTGCTCCAAAATCCATTTTGTCTGATATTAAAATAGCTTCTCTGGCTTTCTTTTGACAAGCATTAGCACAAAATATCTTTTTCCATATCATGACTTTACCTTATTTCTTTCTTTACATTCAAATGTCTTTACATTATTATAGTAGTACATAGTTGGGGCTCTTTTTTTATTCAATTAAATTATAAATCTGTTTTTTGTGGGGAGGGGTACCAGGGGTTGAACTCAGGGGCACTTGACCACTGAACTGAGCCCCATCCCCAGCCTTATTGTGTTTTGTTTAGAGACAGGGGCTCATTGAGTTGCGTTGCACCTTGCCTTTGCTGACGCTGGCTTTGAACTCGCCACTCCCCTGCCTCAGCCTCCTGATCCACTGGGATGACAGGCGTGGGCCACAGCACCTGGCATAAATCTGTTTTAACTGGGGTATTAGGGCCAATTGCTATTTGTTTCTATTCGCTGTTGTCTACTCCTTGTTCACCTCCCCCTCTTTGTCAAGCAGGGTGAGGTATCTAGCCCCTGAGACAGATGGTGAGGAAGGTACAGGAAGAGCACTGCCCTGGAGTCTGCAGACCCGGGTGCTGGCTGGGATCCCCTCTCCTCGTTCTGGAAGGGCTGCAGCACCCCCACCATCCAGCTCAGGGAGGCTGACAGCATCTGGTGCCCAGAGAGATTATATCTTTCTTTGTCAACAAGTAGACAGGTGGCTTCTTGGCCTATGTGTACATTTGAGAACACAAGTGTTTGTGTGTGTGCATGTGTGGGTACATGCACACGAGTGTATGTGTGTCTGTAGTGTTTTGTGTGGGTATGTCTGAGTGTGTATGTGCATGCATGTGAGTGTGTGTACAGGTGCAGGTATACACGCATGAGTGTATTTGTGTGTGTGTATGTGTGCCTGTGTATACAAGTGGGGGTGTGTGAGTGTATTTGTGTGTGCACGTGAGTGTGTGCTTTGTGACTCACTCACCGCCTGGCCTTTGGATCCTGGCTCCCCCTGCTTCCCAGGAAGCCCCGATCCGCCCTCGGTCCCTCTCTTGCCAGGGGGACCCAGCTGCCCTGGTAACCCACTTTCACCCTAAAAGAAACACACCAAGATTGCCAGTCAAAGGGGGAAATGATTCAGGGAGGGGGAGGGGGAGGGCCTAGGAGATCAGGGATTCCACAGGGTCCCTCGAGATCTCAGGGCGGTGGGGTGAATGGAGACCCTCTGAGGAAGCCTCCTTCCTCCCTCTGGCGTGCCCTCCCTCTCCTGCACTGTCCCTCTTCTCCCCAGCATGCCACAAGCCCCACCTCCAGACCTGGCCACACAACCCTCCACCTACAAAACCTTCTCTTCTCCGTCAAATCCTCACTGGGCTAAAGCCACCTGTCCTTCTGCCTGCTGTCCTCTCAGGAGGTTCCAACCATTCCCTACTAGACCCTAGTTCAGAGAGAGCAAGAGCGGTGTCTGGGTCCTTGGACTTCATTTTCCCCTCAGGGTCTAGTCCTGGGCTCTGCCTGATTGACAGCAGCCTCTCATCCCAGGGAAGCTTTCTAAGGATGCCTGCCACCTCCCATAGGCTGTTCCACCGGGACCCACAAGAGGGCGCCCGTGGACAGCTCAGCTACAGTGGGTCATTTCCAGAGCCCTCTAGGGGGCAGTAGTTACAGCTCTGGGAATAAAGTATCCTATAAGACTGGGACAGGGACCCCAGAGAAAAGTCACAGCATAGATTTTTATTTTCACACAGGCCCTGGGACATGGGTGATGTAAGATTTGGTAGAGCTAGTCAGAAAGGGCAGAGGAAAGGTAAGTGAGTTAGAAGCATCTGACCTTGAATCCTGGGGGCCCCTGTGCTCCAGGCAAGCCGGCCACACCTGGATTTCCTCTCCTCCCAGCAGGGCCCACAAGGCCAGGGTCCCCGTCATCCCCTTGATCTCCCTGTAAAGAAAGCAGGCTATGGAGTCTCTTGGATTTCAGGAAACAGGCCAGAGTCGGGTGGGCACAGGGAGGACAGGAGGTCACTCCTGCCTGTGTGAGATGGCTGGACCCACAGGGACTGCAGCAACTAGGATGTGAGGTCAGGCAGGGGGTGGGCATCAAGGAGAGACCCCAAGAAGGTCCGTGCTCCCAGGGCCCAAGGGATGAGGCTGAAACCCACACCAAAGCATGCGGGAACTTCTGCGCCACTCCCCCCACAAGTGTCCCTACTGGCTCCCTGGCCTGTGGCATGTGGCAGCCCCCCTCCACACCTTGTCTCAAATGGAGACACCATCTGCTCACCCCAAGTCTGCTCACCTGTGGTCCTGCTCGGCCATCCCTGCCAGGAAGCCCATCTGGTCCCGCGACACCCTCGGGGCCCTGTCTTCCCACCACGCCCCGCGGCCCAGGCAGCCCGGGCAGCCCCTGGGGGTACACAGGAAGGTGGTGAATGTTGGGGTGGGGGAGAGCTTGAGGGGCGCAGCAGCCACAGGGACTCACCTGGATCCCCCTCCGACCTGGGGCCCCGGCCTTGCCCAGCTTTCCCTTTGGACCCTGAGAAAGCAAAGTGAGGGTCACATGTCAGGCTGCCTGGAGGAGGGGGCGCTCTGCGGGGAGGCGTCCAGGAATGAGGGCCTCTGTGAGCTCCTGATTCCATGAGCAACCCGGGACAGCAGCCTGGAAGCCCAGGGCCAGCCGCCTTGGGGTCAGCCAGTGCTGTCCCCACACTGCTTGGCCCCCTTGCTGCCGAGCTCTGGTCATTGTCCTCGTCTGGTGAGAGTCAGACCCAGGGCTGGCTGGGCCACTCATGAGGAGTGGGGCTATCCCTAGCAGGTGTGGGTGGAGGGGACCTGGCTGGAGGCCATTTACCTGGCCCAGCCTTAGGGAGGGAGGCCCAGGGACCCTGGTCCAGGCTGGGAAGGTCCCCTGGGAGCATCCTGTCCCTCTCCTCTTTCTCCAGACCCCTGCTTCCCTCCCGAGGTTTCCTGTCTCCAGTGGCTAAGGCGGTCAAGAGGCCACCCTGGCTCCTGCGGCCCTGAGTTCAGGCCCCTCTGCTGACCTGAGACAGGGGCTCCTCCCCAGGCCCCCACACTTGGGCTGCGGGCTCACGGGGAGTCTGGTCCTGGCCAGCCCTTCCCCTGCCCAGGCCCCGTCTCCCCAAGAGTTCAGCTTCTCACCTCTTCGCCTTTTGATCCTCTGGGTCCCGGCCGCCCCCGGGGTCCCGCATGCCCCTGCAAACCAAGGGGAGATGACGCAAGGCAGCCCCAGGATTCTCTCCCGGGGAGGGTGGCCAGTCTCCGCCTGGAGAGGGAGGGTGGGGAGGGGTTTGGGGGTGCAGGCTCTGGGGGTGTCCCCAGGGTCAGGGCAGGAGAAACCAGAATGGGCTGCTTCCCCACGACCGTCCTCGGAGGGAGGGTCCCTTGAGTCTTTACTTCCCACTTACTGACCCACCCCCCTCAGGGCAGGAGGGGGTGGGGCAGCAAGCACTACTCACGGGTTGGCCCTGCTGGCCAGGCTTTCCACGGAGCCCAGGAACACCCTCCTGTCCCTGGAAGCCAAGGAGAGACAGCTGAGGGGACCTGTCTGGGAGGGGCCAGGAGCCAGGGTAGGAGCCGCAGGCCCCGGGCCTTCCTAGCCACGCATCACCGTCCCTCCCTGAGCCCAGCTCCCGTCTGCAGAACGGGCGCCACAGGGACCCTCCACTCACACGTGGAGGAGGGACAGGGCGTGAGAGCCTGGTGGTTCAGTGGTTCGCCACTGCTCCTGCTGGGGGAGCTGCTCCCAACCACACACAGGGAGCCAAGGCCCTCAGAGGGAAGGGACCACTCAGGACCAAGCTGAGGAGGCTGCCAACAGACAAGGCCCAGCTGGTCTCCCTCTGACCTCGGCCTCTCTGACCCCAGGAAAGGCCAGGCCCCCCTCTGCAGTGGGACTAGTCCTGGCCTCTTAAGGGGGTCTCGCTTCTAGCTGGGCACTGCCGGTGGAGGGAGGCCTATGTCCCGGGGCAGGTGGCCTCACGGTCTTGCCAGCATGTAGGACTCTGGTACTCACAGGGTATCCTGGGTCTCCAGGTTCACCACGGTCTCCTCGGTCACCCACAGGGCCCTGAATGACAAGGACAATAGCAAAATAAAGGCCACAGCCTCACCTCTGCTCAGCCTGCCCCCACAGAGCGAGAGGCCCCACCGGGAAGCCCACAGAGCCATGCAGCCCGGGGAGGGGGCAAGGCTTACCCGATCTCCAGGCGGCCCAGGGGGCCCCTCCGCCTTGCCGTCCTCCCCCTGCTCCCCCTGTGGACACAGAACCAGCTTTAGGAGAAGTCACCCGTCCTGGGGACTCTGGGGACTGCGGGCAGCAGATACACAGAAAGGCAAGCAAGCCTCAGGCAGAACTGGGTAGTGTGGACCTGGGATTGGGGAACACAGACAGCACCGGGGCCCAGCGGACCCCCTGTGGAGGCGGGCAGCACGAGGCCAGGGGTCAGCCCCCATCCCGGACAGGGCCAGCTGCGGGTCTTCAGCATGCCCCTTCCCGTCTTGGCTTTTTTCAGCTGGGGAAGGGCTGAGCTGGGTGAAGGGATGATGGTAAAGGCCACAGGGAGCCCATGAGATGGTGTGTGGCTGCTGGCCCGCATGGACACTGCCCTGGGCAGACACAGGCAGGACCACTGAAGCTCACGACAGCCCCGTCACTCTTCCTGTTCTGCAGAGAACAGGGGCACAGGGGGCCGTGGGAGTGCTCAGCTGCTCCAACCTCAGTGACTGGGAGGAAGTGGACCCCTGACCAGCATCCCTCCTTCCATGGCTCGGAGCCCCCAAAGAAGGCCCTGGGGCTTCTCATGGGGACACCTGGCAGCTGGCCGAATGCAGACCTTGTCCCTAACTCAGCTTCAGAGTGGACAGTGGCGTGGGGACACCTTCAAGCGTTCTTATGAGGCCTCAAGGGGAGGGGCCAGCCCCCAGCCTCTGCTGCCTGCTCGTGGGACTCCAGGTGGCCATTAGAATTGCTGTTGTTGATGACAGTAATAGAAGTGACCTGGCCAAGGACAGACGGAGTACGAGCTGAGTCCAGAGCTGTGATCCTGGGCCACGGCGGACCCTGGAGGCCCTGGGACAGTGCGACCTCTTGCCAGCCACAGGGAAGGTACGAGTGGAAGACGGGACAGAATCAGGCCCAGACTCTACCCCCAGAAACTGCTGTGCCCCCCTGGGGACCCATTCCAGGTAGGGGGCTCAACAGGGCACTCTGAGCCCCTGGTTGTCCACTGGGATTGGAAGGAGCCCGAGAGATGGGAGGGGGAAATGGTCCCTGGCAGGCCACGTCCTGGCCCTTGAGCAGAGGGCCGCAGCTGAGGTGCGTGGCTGGGCTCTGTGGCTCCCGTGGGGAGTGGCCAAGCAGGTGGGACCTGGCCTGAGGCCGAGAACCAGTGGCCCAGGGCGTGGGGATTCCCTCTCCTTCCCTCCCATTCTGGCTGGGTGACCTAGTGCTCGTTCCCACTGTGGAGGGCTGCTGGGGACTGGTAAGCTCTGGGCAAGGGGCCAATATACACCTGGCACGTCCCATGCTGGGCACTTCATGGGGTTCATGTCACACCTCACTTCACAGAATCTACATGACAGTCCCGTGCTGCTGGGCTGCACTTCACAGACGGGGAGCTGAGGCCCAGGGAAGGGGGTTCCCAGCCAAGGCCACTGAGGAATCGAGGGCCAGGTCTGCAGATCTGCCCCTGACACACGCAGGCCACCCTCGAGGCTGCAGGCCAGGCATGCATCTCTGGAGAGCTGGCCAGACTCCCTGCCTGCCCTGTGCCCAGAAGCCCATGCAGCCCTCTGCTGGCCTCTTCACAGACACGTGTCCACAGGGTCTCTCGTCATACTGGACACGACCCAGGCCCACGTTCTGGTGCCCCATCTCCCCCACCACCACTGGACAGGGCCCAAGACCCATGGCTCCTTCAGTGAGTCGTCTCCTGTCTGAGCCGGAGCCTGAGCCCCAGGCGAGGGATGAACGCTTCCCCTTGGCCTTGGGCTCAGGCCTCCACCCGGGTCCTCTGTGCTCAGCACATGTCTCACTCCTGCTGGGTGGTCTCATCGTGTGGGGGTTTCCGTGACCACAGGCACAGATGAGGGGTGGCACGGCCTCAGTCACCTCGTGACTGACATCCATGCTTGACCCTCACCCTGTCAGGGCGGGGGATGTGCCTCTTGTCCCAGGACTGGGCACAGAGGTGACCCTGATACACAGGTGAACATGGAGCTCAGCTCCTGCCTGCTGGGCTTAGCGGACTGACGTGCTTGGCAGGCCAGTGCGAGTGAGCAGGGCCGCCTGTGCCATCCTGTCTCCAAGGACCCCAGGGGTGTGTTCCTGCTGACCCCAGAGCTGACCCTGGCCCCAGATATAAGGGGTAGCTGCTTCTCCATGATCAAATACTCACCTTTTCTCCTTTTGGTCCCGGAGGCCCGAGGGGTCCCACAGTGCCTTTGTGTCCCTGAAGGCAAACACAATAGAGTTGAGGGGCAGATGGGGACTCAAGAGGGACAAGGGCACCGACCAGGAACTCAGATTTGGATGGAGGCACTGGACTGAGACACTGGGTTCTAGCTCTGCCCCAAGTTGCCATGTGGCTTGAGCAAGCTCCCTAGGTCTCTGGGCCTGGCCTCCAGACACACCTCTAAGGGGTCTCAGGCCAGCCTGCTGGTTGGGGACTCAGAGGACCCCAGGCTGCAGCCAGAACTGCAGATGCAGGCACCTCCCCCACCCAGTCCCTGCCTTCTCTGCCCCCCCCCTTGTCCTTCCCCTCTCCCAGACTCCTGCAGGGTCTCCATCACACCTTGGCTCTAGCGAGGGCCACAAGGACCTAGGATGGGACCCTACAGGACCCTCCCATGCTCCTTCACCCCGGGCCTCGTCTCGCTTTCTGCTCAAGCCCCACCGCCATATGTTCCACCCATGGTCCCCTGCCACCCCATCTGTGGGCCCAGGAGCTGCCTGGGCAGGGGGACCCATCTCCTCGGTGGCCCTGGGGCTAGCCCTTCGCTGGGGACACGGGGGCCAGGCAGAGCTGAGCCTGCAAGATGGGGCTCCAGGAGGGAGGGGAGGTTCCCAAAGGCAGCGTCCACTTACATCGTAACCAGCCAGTCCCGGGTCTCCTTGGGCCCCCATCCGACCTGGAGCACCCTAGGAGAGGAGGAGACCCTCGTTGGTGTGGAGCGTGGCTCTCAGAGCAGGGACACAGCAGGGACACTCTCCCTAGGGTTCCAGCTGCACTCAGTCCAGGGGCCAGGCATGTCACCTGCCCATGAGGACGGGGTGGGGGCGGGGGAGCAAGGTGGAAAGGAAGCACAGGCCTCCTCCCCAGCAGCCACCCCGCCCTTCCTTCTCCGGGCTCCCGAGGGCCACCATGGCCACCTGCTTCATTTCCAAAACTTTCACAAGCCACTTAAACAGAGCCATTATTAGATTTAAATTTTATGGATTTAGAGTTAAATCAGTTTTATTAAAAAAGATGATACTCAAAATTCATCCCTCCCCGGCCCTGTGCCCCATCTTCTGTTGCTCTAGGGAGCCGGGGACAGACACGTCCCAACTCCACCTTCAATGATGTGGGGGTGGGGTGGCGGGGTGTCAGCCCCAGTGGGAGCACTGTCGGCCACCTGGCCTACCCTGAGGTCCTCTCTCCCACAGCCCGGGCGCCCTCTGGCCCTTCCTGCAGGACAGCCCGGCCACGCTCAGGGACACCAAAGTCCTCCAGGGAACTGCCCTGGCTTCACCCCACCTCGGGAGCCCATTCCCAGGGAGAGACCTTGCTTGGTAAGAACACCCAAGGGACTGTCCCCTCCCCCACCACAGCAGGGCTTTAGTACTGGGGTGCACAGGAAGCCACAGGAGACCCGCAGACCCCTTCAAACTGCAAGAAACCCAAGGGGATCATGATCCCCACGAGGGGACAGGGACAGGGAACACCAGGTGCTCGGCTAACAGCTGGGGTAGGCAATGCCCTCAGAAAAAAGCCAGTCCCTCCCTTCCTGCCCTCGGTCCCTCCCTTC